TCAAGGTTTAGGAATGATGTTATCCGCTCTCTAAAGTAATTGTTTACCATAACGCTCAAAATTAGGGATTCGGGTAGCAATGAATCGCAGTCTAACTTTAGAGTAACCTTTGGTAGGGCGATCTTCCACCCCAAGTTCCTAGAAGTAGACTAATTATAAACAATTGCTTTCTTTTAGGAAAGGATACGTAAATATTTCTAGAAGAAAGAAGATGAGTCACAAAACAATGAAATTTTCCTTCAAACCAGTCTATTTTAGAATAATCCACCATACTATCAAAAATAGAAGATCCACTACCAGAATTAGCTGCCTTCTGCCTAGGCTTCTCAATTCTGAATCATACCGCAGACAGAATATTTTAACTGGAACACGATTAAACTTAACTGTTTACACAGTATTCCTATGAATCCTCTACTCTATAAGATTTTTAAATCAGTCTTCACCAATCCATAAAACTTTTCTTCGAAATTATTATGTTCCAAAATAATCTACCACCCCTATACCTAAAAATAAACCTACCATTTCCTAAGTTTTCTTGAAATACTCTATCTCAACTAGTACTCAATATGCGATTTTCTAGTACTGTTAAGTATACGTAAGTAAACAAACATTGTCCCCAAAGATATTCTCACAATTACAATTGTAAAACCAATTAGCGTTGCTTATAAACATACTTTATTCCACAAGCTTTACAATCTGTCTCCATTACTTCTACAATAATCTATCACTCCATTATCCAAAAATATCCTTCAGTTATCATTTAAAACTTCTCTATTATCTCAAATTTCTCTCTATCACCTAAAAATTCCCTTTACTATTCAAAAATCGCCACTACTATCCGAAAATTCTCTTTCCCTTTTCAAAATTCCTATTACTATCTACAAACTGTCTGTACCATCCAAAAACTCTTTCCCATTTCACCCAAAATTCTCTATCCCAAAACACTACACTCAAACGATGATTTTCGAAAGCAGCCAAGCGTATCAAAGTAAACACTCGTTATTCCAGAAACCTAGCGATGTATCCAAAGATATACCCGCTGGGGGGAATCGAAGGGGACTTTTCCTAGCTATCGATAATCGTAAAACCAATCAGCGTCTCCGCGAATATTCCGCGGTTGAGCCAAGTTTCCGGGACCCTACGGCATTGCGGGAACGTATATATATTTACGGTCGGCCATATTTATGCCGCGTTTATAAAATGTGAAAGTGGCCTCTCTCGCAGGAGGCCGAGCTGTGACGCTCGATGAAGAAGGAGAGAGAAAGAGAGAGAAAGAGAGAAAGAGAGAAAGAGAGAAAGAGAAAGAGAGAGAGAGAG